GTACAAAACTACCAGTGGTTCTGTGGGAGAAAGATAAGTCTTTCTGCTCCTGTAAAGGTTTACAACCTTGGAAACCCTGTGCAGGGTCATTATGAATTAGAACCGACTCCATAACACATAACCACCACCACTATTGTAAAATAGAAACTTGAGTGGGATAAACAGGAATGTTGGGAGACATGATTACAGAAAACCTGTAAGTCCATTTTCAATCTATAACTGCTTGGAATACCTAAAAGGGGTTCTAGAACTTGCCCAATGAAATAGGCCTCTTGGAAAGCCTTTGCAGAGTATAGGACCTTAGGTGGAATCTGAGTCCCATCCAGACCTTATAAGGTAGGACTTTTCCACTAGAAAGCACAAGCAGACCAGCCTGGATCAGCTAGAGTGACAGAAGATATATCTTCAAAGAATGATCATCAGGAAAAAATACAAAACAAAAATGTCAGGATGGCTGGATACTGCAAGCTGTTCCCTAGGAAGCCATTAAGGCAAGCAACCAAGTTCCCTCAGGAAAATGCCCCTCTTAGTTGAAACTCAAAGGAAACACACAAATGGGTATGTAAGCTTGCTGGCAACCACGCTGGTGAGTGGAAGAGGGGGAAAGACAGCAATGAAGAAATGGGCTGTGTTCAACCACTGTCCATTGACTCCCATTGACCTGGAGATGAGAGAAAGAAGAGGAAGGGCTGGTTGGTCCAGAGTGTGGTGAGACCTGGGGACACTTGAGCCCACGGACAAGTGCATAGCCACAGAGGGCTGAGAGTGTAGCCTCAAGCTGATATGAAGTGAGGGGAGATGCATAAGAACACCCAAACTTGCAGACAGTACCCATTTGACCTAGCCTTGATGGCTTCATAATCAGAACTAGACTAGAGGAAGATTACAAAAAAAAAAAAAAAATTTTTTTTTTGATAAAGGAAACAAGGGTATATTACTACAATTTGATGAACCTGACCTATACTCATGGAGGCAGTAATTCTAAGCACCAACAGAGAGGGAAGGAGTCGTCACATCAAGCATCAATGCTATCCCTTCTGTACACAGGGTATATAGGGAAGGGTAACTTAGACATTGGCTACCTAAAATGAATGGGCAATAAAGGCATGAAGTGACTGGCTTACAAGGTTTCAAGAAGAAGTTTAATTAAGCTTAATTAAGTCCCCACTGAATATAGTTTTCTTCTTGTCTAGATAGTTCTGGTGAAAAGAGATGGGGATAAAATCTGTATGATTCAATGGTGAATAATTGTTATCATGACTAATCAGGACTTCCACAATTGCAAAGGTAGAAATTTTGTAACAAAAACAGGGAAGTAGTTAATCTTACATCTAGAAACAGAGGACCCTAGGACCATGAAGGGAGAAGAGCACAAGCAGAATGTGGGACCTTATCCAGAGAAGCAGCAGTGCCAGAGATGGAGGCAGAGATGGGGGCATGGAGAAGGGG